TTCCTATTTTACATAAGTATGAAAGCAGGCAGGTATCATTGTTTCTGGATGGATTTCTATTCAGGAATTGAAAGATTATTCTTTTGTCATGAAGCTAAATCTGTTCTGATGCTTTGATCAACTCTACACTGTTCCTGAAAAGAGTCTGTCTTCAGAAAACCACTGAAGATTGCTTCAGTTTGCTTGTGGGTTTTTTCCGTGTTTCACTCATGATTTTTTTTTAAATTAACATCAGCTTTCTGATCTTCAGTTTTTAACAGCTGCAAGAAAAAAAAAAGTTTTATATTTGCAGACAAACCTTCTGATTTCCACAGTAACCAGTATTTTTCAACTAAATGAAAATTTAAAAGTAGAGATACAAAATCTGCTCATCTTCTCATAGCTGTGATGATGGAAAGTAGCTGAATGCTGCAAAAAGTTATCAGGATATGTCCTGCTGCAATGAAATAGGCAGCTAAACTATGTCATAGTTTCTTGAAATGACCTGGTTTGATTTTGTTTTAATGGATATTTACTTTTCTAGACACATCTTTCAGTGATACTTCTTGGCATAAAGCTCCCAGTTATCTCATGTATATACATTAATTTATGTTCACAAAGCCCTTGAGAAAGAAGTCGCATTATTTCTGTTATGTATTTGGCTTATAAAAAAACCACAGAAGGCAGCCCCCAGTTTATTGCAGATCATGCCAAAAGCGATTTAGAAAAGATCACAAAGAACGGCTACAGGAAAACTCACTTTATCCGAATTTTAGCTGCCATATCAATTTCCTTTTATTCTGATGATGAATGGTAGACATATGAAAAAAATACTTTATTTGTTAAAAAAAAAAAAAGTCTTGAAATGGCACGTGAACTGAAAAGAGAAATGGATTTTAGCTGTCTCTCAAGGGAGAGAGAAATTAGTCTGGAAATTCATTGCAGAGAAATGAGTGAGTTATTTTGCTGACTGTCAGTGGTAGGTAACAATGTAATGCAATAAGGGAAGGCCAGGTTTGAATAGATAGAAAATTAATCTTCAGCCACTATCTCCCATGGGATTTTCCTGTGCCAGTATTGATTGCATTTCAGCTCCTGTCTTGGGAGAGAAATTGGCTGGAGTTAGATTTTAATTGTATTCACATGCTGGATCACTTTCCTTCAAAATATTTATTTTGCTACTTTCCTGAAAACAAAGTTTAACTTGGTATTTAAACTGTACCAACTGACACCACAATCTGTCGGGCTTTTAATAAAAATGCCAGACTAAAATAATTAATAATATTGAGGGTTTTCTTTTTAACCATTCCTTATTTTTTTTCCTAATTTAAATGTAAGCTACTTGAAATTCATAAGTTTGACAAATGAAAACTATATAGATTGACTTTCTATAGAAGGATGCAGTATAAATTTGATGTGTAAGGCCTGGCACATCATTGGTCGTGCTGGTCAGGAGGTACTGGCCCAAGTGAGTTCAACAATAATTTACATAAAATGCTTCTGATACTTATCTGTTGCGTGCAGAAGTAGTCAAGAGCTTTAGATCTAATAGAACAAAATACTCCTGTGTAAGGGAAACTATGTAATTTTAAAAGAATTTTGTCATTTGATGTCTTGGGTTTTGGGACAGATTGATGCCTTGTTTTGATATGAGAGCTGTACATCACAAAATACTCCCAGGAAAAGTCAATAAGAAGACTAAGGAAGCTTCTACATTAGTTTATGTAGATATAGATCCACTGTCCTGCATTAATAAATTGAGAATAATTTTTAGATTAATGAGTTTTTTTGGTATCATGGAATATTGGTATGAAGAATAACAGACCGAGTCTTTATCACAGTCTTTTTTAGGGGCACCTGGACATGTGTGCTGTTAGAGATATGAGAAGTAGATTTTATGTTTGAAAGTTTAAGGCATTCAAGTCTATTAACTAAACCCTTTAATTTTCAGCAAAGTTTAATCAAATTTTGGCAGGAGACTTGAATCTTCTTTCATAGCATGAGTGAATGGAGAGACTGAAAGGTTGTATTTCTTAATTGGAATGAAATTGAAATATCAAAAAGAAGAAACATGATCCTTTTATGTTCAGATGCTTCAGGAATTTCAAGCAAAAATCTAAATGTATTGTAATATGAAAACTTCTGTGCAAGACCTGCTAGGATGGACCATATGACACATGATGTGATTCTTGGGACTGTCTTATACAGGACCAGGAGTTGAACTCTGCTGATCCTATCTAGTCCCTTCCAACTCAGGATATGCTATAATTATGTTTACCCCCTTTCTCTTTACCATACCCTTTCCCTCCCAAATATATCTTGTGGAAAATTAGTTGAAAGAAATCTTTTGACATTCACTCATTCTGGTGTTTTATTGTAATAATGTGCCCTGATGATTCTCAGTTATTTTCTGAATTTATCTGTGAAAGCACTGAGTTCGTAGTTGTGTAATTTCAGAAATAATAGTTAGGATTTTTTTTTTAAATCAAATTACTCTCAGGCAGGAGGGAAATTTTGTCACATGAATGATTGATTGTTGAGATAGCATTTGTAGAACTAGACAAACTCATTACTTTGAGCAGCATGAAGCTGAAAGATAATTTGTGAAGAAGACTCCAGAATTTGCTTAATGTTTAGCATTCCAGTTCCGAGGGAAGAAAAAGTCCTGTGTGATAATATAGAGGAAAACAACAACAACAACAGCAAGAACAAAAGCCAAACCAAACCAACCCTCTTCCAACAAAAAACCCCCAAAACCCAAAAAAACCCCCCACCATTACCCCAAACAAACCCCTGCCCCCCAAAAAAACCCTAAACAAATGAGCAACAACAACAATAATAAACTCTGTGTAAAAATTGAGCCAAATTACATTGTCTGAAGCTATCAGAATGCATATATTTCAAATTATATAATGCATAAATTGTACCCATCCTTGCTCCAGTTTGCACAGTTCAGAGTAAGGTGTAATGGTTGTGGGGGATTGACCTGGACCAGCTGCCAGTTGCCCACCAAGTCCTCTGTCACATTCCTCTCTATCACACCCCCACCCCAGCAGCACAGAGGGGAGAAAATAAGACCACTAAAGGCTCGTGGATCAAGATAAAGACAGTTTAATAAAGAAAAGCAAAGGCTACACATTGAAGCAATAGAAAACAAAAAGATCTATTCCTTACTTCCCATCAGCATGTGATGTCCAGACACTTCCTGCAAAGTAGGGCCTTAATGATAAATGCCTGCCTTCCCTCCTCTTTTCTCTTAGCTTATATTGCTGAGCACAACATCCTTAGCTGTGGAATATCATTTTAGTCAGCTTGGGTCAGCTGTCTTGGCTATGACCCCTCCCAATCTCTTGCCCACCCCCAGAGTGGGGTTAGGTACTAAATAACAAGGTGAACTTAGTGTAAAATATAGCAGCTGTGCTGCATAAAAGTAGTCAGAATTAGTACCCACCTTCTTTTCTACCAAAACTTAATAAACTTGTGTTGTGAGATCCATCTCACCTAATTCTAGACAGCTGTATTGCAGACTTCTGCATCTGGGTGATTTGCCCTATGGCTACATTTACAATCAGTCAAAAGTAGGAGACACTTCTAAAGCATGATTTATGTCATGGGAAAATAGGCATCTAATTAAGATGAGATGAATTGTACTCTAAACATGACCGTTTCTCTTCCTTGCCTAAGAAGGCAGCCTGGGATGATGAGCACAACACTGCTATGTTGTTGAACACAGTGGATGTCCCTGGTTAGATGAGTTCTGCCCTTTGTGTTTCCAAAGGAAACCACTTCCTTGAAACCAATCTGAGACTGCTGCTTATTTTAGGCAACATTTGAATCTATATTTAGTAAACCATTTGTCTGTAACCCTGTGATGAAGCAGATGAGAAAACATAGGGAGTTCATTAGATGACTTTGTGGGTAAGTTAAAATTTAGCTGCCTATACTTTGATAGGGTATAATAATAAGCAGAATAGCTTCAGCACACATATGCCTGACTGACCAGCAGGTGCTTCATTGTCAGCACTATTTATCAAGCATAACACATTTTTAGAAACTGATGACTCTATAGTATTAAAAATATCCTTATAATTGCCTACAATTGCTGGCCTGAGTAACCATTCAGTATCGTGGTTGATTTGTTATTGCTTTAAGTGGCAGTCGACTCATGTCGTGAGGCCTCCTGTTCCAGCTGCAGCTGAGACAGGTGAAGATGTTGCCACCTCCTCCTGGGCCTTCTCTACCTCCTTGGTTCCACACTCCATGTAATTTTTCTAATGAGTTAGAAAAATCTCTGCTTTTCAAAATTTTTAAGAACTAGTCCAAATTGACTGAATCATTTGGAAGGAATCAAGAAATGTGTATCAGGGTGCAGACAGATAAGAGAGGATGGGAACCTAAGACAGAGAGGTGATGGTGAGCACCTGAGCATTTGGGACACTTCCACCCAGTCAGATATAGCCAGTACATTAGATTTCATTGTTAAAATAGACCAGTGAACAAATCCTGATTCAGTCAGAAGTTCTAAGAAGGCTTAATTTCCTTTCTTTGTCTGAATTTACACCACAGTTTCTCAAAAATCCATTTATGAAACGTATATGAGTGGTATCATTTTTAGGTTTGTGATTTACTGTATAATCTGCAGAAGGAAAAAAATAAGATACGGTGTTCATATTTAAGATTCAGTACAAAATATTAAACATAATAAAAGGTAATGCACTTGCCTTGCATTATAGTTGTAAAAATTACATGTGCTTATGAAAAAATTAGACATGTGTTAGGCTCTTACTTTTCTTTTGCGGGTCTTCATTTCATTGACTTTCATTGCATAACTCGAAATTAAAAGAAAACTATACAAAAGTATTCCTGGACCTGGAGCAGCTGATTGTGTTTATACACAAATACAAAATGTTAGCAATGAAAGAAAGGCTATGAATCATTTAGGTAAAAAGAGGCAAATGTGAATGGAATTGTTTTTAGCAATATTGTAATATTTTGCCCTTTACATGTCTTTCTTTAAAAAGCCTGAAAAGAATGACACTGAATCTGGCAGCCAGAGAATCAGACCGGTATTTGAAGATGATCCTGTTTTCCGACGGCAAACGTCTTACCAACATGCAGCAGTCCACATACCAACAGATATTTATGAAGGCTGTAAGTAGTATGTGAACAAAGCCATCTTATATTTTAATACTAAGCTCATTAGTTGGGTCCCATTCTTAAAACAAATAACCTCCAAACTAAATTTTTGCCGCCATTTTTAGTGCAGGATTGTGGTTACTGTCACTTTTACTTCTTTCACTAATACTTCAGAGATGTGCTCTATTAGACATACTATTCATTTTATGAATTAGTAGGAGCCACAGTTAAAGAGATCCATTGGGATTGGATCCGAGTTTCACAAATGGAACCGGAGATGAGATGAAATGAAACTCTTAAATATTCTAACTTTCTGATCCATTCTTTCTCTATACTGTTCTCATTTAAAATAAACAATTCTTGACAGCTCTTATTTACATGTTGTTTGACCTCAGGCAGAGGTGAGTTCTGAAAATATTTTTGAGTATCCCAAAAATCAGATACCGTTCAGGTAAATAACATACTGTGTGAGATAGTAGTACCAATACTGCATGCAGTGCATTTTAGAATTGCAGTAACAGACTTTAGCAGAGAATTTGCATAAAGTCTTTCTAAACTATGGAAAAAAATGCATATTCTGCTGAGGATTCATTAGTTGTATTTCAAAATGAAGTATTTATCTTTCAAGATGTAAATAAGTTCCTTTTTCCTGTGTTCATCATCAAGCAAAAATCTTCATATAATAAGAAGACATTTCAGCATTCAAAGTGGTTGCATGTTTTTAAAAAGGGGAAAGGAAAATTAAATAGGATCCATACATTTTTAAGTTTTGATTTTTTTTTTTTTCAATTTAGGGTCCTAATTTCTAGTATGCAATCTTTTTCTTCTTTCAAAGTTTCATCAAGAGGAAAGAGACCCTAGTGTGACCCTGAGCTTTTTAAAATTCATGGCCACAGTTGCGTGCAGCTTCCATAAATGACACAGGGATGAAAATGGAAATGTCAGTATGATGGGGGAAAGAATCATCGTAACTCGTACTCTTACATGGTGTGCTTGACTGACAGACCTAGAGAATTACTTTGGGATTCTGGCTTTAATAAGTGCTAAAGTGCACCAAAAATGCAGGATTACAGAGAACTAACAGGACATTTCCTTTGCTTTTGTTTGAAGAGAATTGATACTTCACTGTTATGAGATGTTATAAAACCTTGTCTTGCATTATTGGGATATCTATAAACACCATGTGAACTTTGATATAAGATTGTCATCACAACAGTATGTAAAATGTTTTGTTGTTACATTGAATTTAAGATCTTAGGTGGTACTCCTAAAGACACTTCTATCCCTTAAAAATGCATGCTAGGTAATGTTACTGTACATCCCATCAATCTAAAAATGAAGACAGATTATGACTTCCATAGGAAAGGTACAACTTTAGTATCTAATAAAATGAAATTAACAGACAGAAATGTACATTTCTGGAGAGAGGCAACTGCATGTGCAACATGTATGGTTCATGATTCTTTGGATCTGGCTTTTATATTTATTACCAGAGATGTGAAAGCCTAGAAAATTACCAGGAAGACTGTAAATCTATGTCAGAAAAATCAACTTCTTGTGTGGCTGGGTAACCTTCAGTTACAGATGGAATTTTCATGAGATAACAGCATGAGAATACCTCAAAATCACAGATTTCCTCCCAACAAACACAAAATGATCACCAGGTTTTATTTTATAGTTGCGAAGTCCGTGTGTCATCAGAACACAGTGAGCGGTTGGAATGTAGTCATTCAGCAATGTAGAATTATGTTTTTATCTTTTTACAATATAATCTACAAGCAATTTTTATAACCCTGGAAAGACTGATAACATATCTAGAACACTGTTTTCATTTTTCTTCCTGTTCACAGGAGCTAACCTGTCATTTCCTGATAGAGGTTTCAGTGTCCACTATACTAGGGAACAATTGTACACTTTGAAAATAGTATCTGCAATTCCTTGTCTCCATCACAGTGTGCTAGGGAACATTTACGACACACGTATGACAACAAATCCTTCTTAGAAACAGTGGATGAGACACAGTTTACAACTTTTATTGCTTGGAAGCCAATTTTTTTTTTTACTGAATTACACCTTGGGAAGCAGATTTATTTTTTTGTCCTTTATTATGTATGTTTTGTAGGATGCCAAGAGAAACAAAGAATTGCTCTTTGGATCTCACAGAATAGTTTTCAATGACTGAATATTTGACTTGCTTATTCTTCCTTCGGATTGGTTTTCACTTCTCTTGCCTCTTACAGTAGCAGGTTGTTGTCTCTAGGGGAGAGGGACAATTACTGTTAGAGCCACATGCAGTCTGAATTTTCATTTGGACCTGTCAATCACACTTTGTCACGTAATTAATTTTTTTCTGTATGAAGCTGGGAATTTGAGATTCACTGACTCTTAATCATAGAATCATAGAATTACTAAGGTTGGAAAAGACCTTTAAGATCATCAGTATGTTATCTATTAAATCTTTCTTTCTTATTTAAGTTTCATTTTTCTTGCAGTTATTATTTATGATTATGTATGATTTTTTAAAATATGAATAACAAATTCCCATCCACTTAGATTTTTGAAAATGGGAAAATGGTTTGGCTAGTAATTCTGTAATGGTGCACCACCCATTTAAACTTGAAAACTAATATGTACTATAGAATAATATTCTTTGGCTTCCTACATGTATAATAATTTGCTTATTTTGAAATACAGTGATGAACTTCTTGTGAAGTAGTACCTTTTATTTCACCATAGAAATATATGATATATCATTACAAAATATCCATTTGCTGCATCCCAGTTATTACTTTGTGACTTATTTGATTGCAGAAAGAAATATTATGAAAGTTGGTTGTTTGGTTTTTTTTCTTCCCTGGGTCTGGTGCCAAAACCTACGCAGAGACAGGGGAAAGTCTAGGGAGTTAATTTATTTGCCTGTTTCTGAGGATTGCAGTCTCACCACAGGGGAGGTCAATCTGAATAAAATAGACCCAAATCAGGCTTTTAATTCAGGATTTTCAAGAGTTCCATTTAGGTTCTGAAATAAAATCAATCTGCAACTGAAAACAGAACAGACCCTCAGGTCGTCTTTCTACCACATGCACTGGGAATTAGTCATGCATCTCCTGTTAGCAATAGCAGAAGTCTTATTTCTAAATCCTCTTTAAAACTGTACTATGCTTATCCCTAGGCAGAATATAGGAACTTCAGGCCAGGAGTAAGAGGAAATCCCTGGCACAAGGCAAGTGAGGTTAATCTTCCCAGTGGATACCACCACGTGCCCTTGCTGTCTGAGATTCATAATGCTCCATCTTGCTCTAGTTGTATGTCTGTACTGGTGTAGATTTTAGGGAAGGTGTTAGGTAGAGCACACAAACAAGTTTTGCTTTTTTCTGTGTAGTTATTCCTGCTTTAGTTCCTTAAAATCAGAAATATGGCTTCCATATGTCACTACTTGATTAGCATTCAAGAGTTGATTAAAGTGTCAGGTTAAAAGTAATGTGTCGTGAACATGACAACATCACTTTGAATATGTTTGGACAGCTGCCAGCAAGAAAAAAGGGCTTTCCCTTCTCAGAACACATTAAACCAGTCATAAATAAAGTTACAATTAATTGATGGTTCATATACCTTAATAATCATCAAATATACATGCTGTTTTTTTAATACTCTCATGGCAGTCAAAATTTTTCTACTGCTTAAAATCTTGTGTTTATTATATATTATTTGATAGCAAGTTTGGCAGTGAACATAAATTTTGCCTTTTCAGTAGTGCATCACATATATATAAATCGGTTATTGATAAAGTATTTTGATACAGTAGTACTTAGCACTGGCAGGCAATCAAAACTTTTAGGAAAGACTTGAAAAATTCAGGTTTGATGTTATAGTGATTTTTATCTTGACTGGAATAATATCTCTTTGACTGGGATTTTTAAAATTTTGGGCAGTTTTTTCTTATCTTGGGTATCTCAGACTATTAGCTTGAAAAGAAGAAATATTCTTCAGGAATAGTGGTCTTGTGAAAGGTGATTTTGGCCATGGCAGGGGTGGTTGGAACTAGATGATCTTTAAGGTCCCTTCCAACCCAGGCTATCCTATGGTTCTATGGTTCTGTGAGAAAAAAACCCTTAGAAATGCTGGGAAATGAAACCATGAGAGTGAGAATATTCCTCCTCAAAAAAAACCCCAATTTGAATAAACTAGGAAAAAGTGCATTATCATTTACTCATGGAAGGTCTTATGTGTGATAATAAATAAGATTTATTCAAGAATCAAGATATTGATAAAGTGTGTATATATTTTGGTGTGCTACATCAGCATTCCTTAAATTACTGAAGAAGCAATAAAACTCTGTTGTTGTTTTTTTTTGTTGTTTTGTTTTGCCTTGTTTTTGTTTTGTTTTTAGTTTAAATAACAGTTACAGACAGGCAAGACACTTTTATTACTTAAATTATTTGACTCAACATATTTTAAGATTAAAGATATTTTTTGTTACAGCTGAGAAACTGAAGCTATTCATAACTATTTTTCTCCTGGTTTCTTATAAGGCATAAATGAATAGCTCAGGTTTAATACAGCTGAGATTGAAAAATGATTGTTTCAAATCTCTGATATTGTGTATTCACACCTTTAAATTTGGAAATAGCATTATTTATGTCTCATGCAGATGGCACGTGAGATTACTTTCTTTTAATATTTTTTTCGTGTTCTCCGTCATTTTAATCAGTGAGTTATTTGTGAAAACATGAAGTGAGTGAAGTGGACCTTTAAATGAATTTTCAGTGTCAGCCTCTTTTAAATACCAAACACTATGGCTTGGGGTAACTATAAAGCAAATGTTAGTTGAAGCTAAGTCCCTAAGTACTGCCTGGTTGGTTCAATATTTAACCTGGAAGCAAAATACTGATGCAGAAGCTTAAGTAAAGAACTCTAGGGTCAGTATTGCTTTTTACGTTCTGACAATTATAGTGTTGTTTGGGTTTTTTCCCCCAAGTAGCTTGCTAAAGCTTCCCGAACTAAATTCTTATTTA